GGGGAAGGAAGGAGTGGGAGAGGGGAAAGGCAAGGGGGGCGCCCCCCCCCCCTTCCTTGTCCTATTCAGACTCAAGGGTAGGGGCACGTGGCCTGCCCTGGCCGGCCCCTCTCTCTCTCTCCACTAGGGCCCATCAAGGCCCATTAGCCCCCGGGGGGTTCCGGTAACCCCTCCGGCACTCCGGTTTTCTCTGAGATCACCCAAAACCCTTTCGGTGTCCGAATATAGCCGTCCAATATATCAATCTTTATGTCTCGACCATTTCAAGACTCCTCGTCATGTCCGTGATCACATCCGGGGCTCTGAACTACCTTCGGTACATCAAAACACATAAACTCATAATATCGATCGTCACCGAACGTTAAGCATGCAGACCCTACGGGTTCGAGAACTATGTAGACATGACCGAGACTCATCTCCGGTCAATAACCAATAGCGGAACCTGGATGCTCATATTGGTTCCTACATATTCTACAAAGATCTTTATCGGTTAAATCGCATAACAACATGCGTTGTTCCCTTTGTCATCAGTATGTTACTTGCCCAAGATTCGATCGTCGGTATCTCAATACCTAGTTCAATCTATTTATCGGCAAGTCTCTTTACTCGTTCCGTAATACATCACCCCGCAACTAACTCATTAGTTGCATTGCTTGCAAGGCTTATAGTGATGTGAATTGCCGAGAGGGCCCAGAGATACCTCTCCGACAATCGGAGTGACAAATCCTAATCTCGGTCTATGCCAACTCAACAAGTACCATTGGAGACACCTATAGAGCACCTTTATAATCACCCAGTTACGTTGTGACGTTTGGTAGCACACAAAGTGTTCCTCCGGTATTCGGGAGTTGCATAATCTCATAGTCATAGGAACATGTATAAGTCATGAAGAAAGCAATAGCAATATACTAAACAATCAAATGCTAAGCTAACGGAATGGGTCAAGTCAATCACATCATTCTCTAATGATGTGATCCATTAATCAAATGACAACTCATGTCTATGGTTAGGAAACTTAACCATCTTTGATTGAATGAGCTAGTCAAGTAGAGGCATACTAGTGACACTTTGTTTGTCTATGTATTCACACATGTACTAAGTATCCGGTTAATATAATTCTAGCATGAATAATAAACATTTATCATGATATATGGAAATATAAATAACAACTTTATTATTGCCTCTAGGGCATATTTCCTTTAGGTATCGGAGTATCAGTTAGCACAGTTATATTTTTGGGGTTAAATTCCGTCATTAAGTTGGTCAGGTGCCACCTAACCAGGCTTTTCCAGTGCAACCACATTTGCCTTTATGGGAAGGCCCTAATGCGATGCTATTGTCGTGTCTCTCGCCGATGCCTCCAACGAGGGAAAGTTATGGGCACGCACTACCCTGATCAGGTAGGCGGACATAAGCCTTGTGTGCTCGTAGTTGTTGTTAGGCGCCTTTTTGTCCCTGTTTGGGACCGTTTTTGTTTTGCCACAACGGTGGCCGTTGATGCCTTTGGTAGGCACGGGGCCACCCAGGACTGAACCCAACGGGGGTGTTGGTCAGAGTGGCTGGGAGAGTGTCATGGTAGTAGATCAGTTTTGTCGGAATGTCGTTGGTCCACCCAAATGGGAGTGCGAGGCCATGGATTCCGTGGTGTGGGTAAAGTGCGCTACCTCTGCAAAGTGTGTGTATTTAATCTATCGATAGTCGCGTCCTCGGTCATGGGCACAAGTTTGTACTAGGTCACACCATTCGATCAACACTCACATGACGGAATGACTTTAGATGAGTTATATGTTGATATGTTATGAGCAGTAACAGTTTTGCAGGATGTTGATGATGATGTTGGGATGATCTCAAGGATGATCATTCAGTTTGTGATGTGGTCACGAGGTGATCAGGTAGATCACGAGGTGATCGAGATGGTATATTGCTTGGCCAATTAGCCAAGCGTGAGAGGGTTCATTGAGATTAAGATGTTGGTTTATCAGCATTGTAGTAGTTTCATATCATGCTTAAGCAGTTGCTTTCATATCATAGTAGTCATTAATTAACCTGCTTAATGCTATGTTATTGTCTTGCCTTGATGCTTTTGGTTGTTGTGAGCTTGCAAGTACATTCAATGTACTGACCTGGCGTGTCATGCTAGATTGCAGGTGATGCAGTGATTGGTTGATTGCGTGTCGAGGTTTCCGTGCATGCGAGCTAGATCGTGTCCCAGCCAGAGTCCCTGCGGAGAGGAGTTCACCACCTTCGTCGTTGCTTCGCTGCTAGAAGTATTCCGCTGCTACGAGTTGTTCCGCTGCTAGCATAGAGCAAGTGTAGTATCGCAGGCGTAGTGTCCCTGTGCTGATGTGATCTTTTGTAACATCTGACCCTTGTATTATTATCCTTGTAATAAGAGTTTATTTGTTCTATGTCAAGCAGCGTCGTGTTCCAGAGACTTCTCAATCTCTGGGCTGGAATACGGGGCGTTCCGGTTTCTCTGAGTCGGGGTGCCACAACATGTCCTGGTGGTGAATGTGGTATGTGGAATATTGTATGGCGTGGCTTGGTTCCTCCTAAGATGAAAGTTTTTGCATGGAAGGTAATTACTGGTACACTAGCAACTAACTTAGAGAGGAATCGACGTCATATTGGTACAAGGGCAACATGTGGAATGTGTGGGCGAGAAGATGAATCGTCATTTCATGCTTTACTAGTCTGTCCCAACGCGGCAAGCTTATGGGACGCAATGAAGGACCGTTGGCCATTGCCGAACAGGTATGATATTGCATGTACGGGTGATGAATGGTTTCTTCACTTGCTTGCTGGTCAGCAGAGCAATGTCCAGGACATGATCATTATGGCGATCTGGAGGGTTTGGCATTTATGTATTGAAGTCATGCATGCCAAATCTATTCCACCGACGGAGGTGTCTTGTGATTATCTATGCAGCTATCTTAACTCTTTGCTACAAGTAGGCTGTATGGGTGTGGAAGAGGTGATCAAAGGTAAAGCTCCAAATGTTGATGGAACCAGTGATTGAGAAAACTCGGTCATCATCGCCATGCCTTCCTTGGTCGGCTCCTCCGCCGGGCTAGGTAGCTCTCTCTGTTGATGGTTCTTATTGTGCGGAAGACGGAGCTGCAGGATCAGGTATGGTTTTACGTGATGGCAAGGGTGATGTTATTTTTGCGGCTTACCGACGCGTTTATCACTGTAATGAGGCGCTGGAAACGGGGTTACATGCGATTATGGAAGGAGTAAGTCTCGCAATTCAACGGTCGAATCGACCAGTTCAGCTACAATCTGTTTGTTTGGCGGCTTTGTCAGCACTGCCTAATGATTCACTGGACAGATCAGCATATGGTCATCTCTTGGCTGAAATCAAAGGTTTACTAGAGAATAGGGTGTTTGTTCGTGTTCAAGTTTCTCGTGATCAAAACAAAGTTGCACATTGCTTAGCAAATTATGGTAGATCTGGGGATAGCACTGCGTGTTGGCTTAACCAATCCCCTTCTTTTATTTCTGAACTTGTTGCTAAGAATTGTAATTCTGTAAGTTTGGAACGCCCTGTTTCCATCGCAAAAAAAAAAAGCTCTGATATCGGACTACATCTGAGGTGACTAAAACTACCACGCTCACTGAAAATATTGGAGGAGTATGGCCGAGCCACGTCGCTCATACCACGAAACTGCACAACCGCCACCATCGGGGCGCCGCACCAAGCAGAAATCCGCCCGTGCATGATCAGATCAACACCACTCTACCCCCGGTACGATGACTGTCAGGGTGAAGATTGGCGTCGTGATCTCCTCGTCGGGGTTACGACGACCCGAGGCGCCTCTCCTCACAAGGAACGGAAGAATCCCGCCACCGCCAGCATGGTGCAAGCAATGCCCGGTTGCGCCCTCGGGCGGCGGCGTGGGAAGGAGGGACGGGAGGTGACCTGCCTCTGGCGGCAGCTAGGGTTTCTCCGTGGGCGTCCGCGGGGCTACAGGGAAGTCGGGACGTCCTGTTGTCTTGTAGCTAGTTGATCTTTTTAAAGGTGATGAGGATGGAGTCAATAAGACAATAACAATCCAGGCATTGATTAACGATCCCAATACGCAAGGCAGTAAGCAGAGCTGCAAAAGAGAAAAGCGGGATTAAGCGAAGGTCCAACGAAGAAGCCCGATCGGGTGTAGGCGAATAGTTTTTGCACCCTTCTTTTTCGATGGATCCCTTTGTTCTTTTCATTTTTACAGAGCGGACAGAGGCAGGCCTACCATAAAGGCGTGGACGCGCCCCATGAAAGAAAACTAAACATGTGCATGCACGTCGAGAATTATTGTGGCGTTGCCAACCCGTAAAGCGCGAGGCATGCAGCATGTGGAACAAAAGCAGCCATGAAAGAACGTCCTGAGCTCCCTCCCTATGCCCCATCGCAGATTTGGCCGGCGGCATCGATCCCTTCCCTGCCTTCCTTCCTTGAGGCCACCAAACCAAACCTCCCCGCGGGTGGCGTCTAGTACGTGGTACCCCTACTCGTATCGCCGTACGCATGGCAAACCGAAAGAAGAAAATTCTGAATTGCGTCCAGGAGATACAAGAGGGTTTGCAGACAGAGACGCAGCTGCCTGCATTGCATCGACGAGAGATGTGGTATTTCCTTGTGGTCCACACAAGGCAGCTGCTGCGGGCTGAAACCGAGGAGGGGGAGGGAGGGAGGGAGGGGTACTACGTCCTCTCCTCGTGGCACGGACAAACATATGTCCCCCCCATGCGCAGAGTGCACAAAGCCACACTGCCGTGCCTAGTGCTGCAGATGACGCCAGGGGCGTTCCGGTAAAAGCGCACGCTGCCTAGATGCTCCTTGCTTTCGCTCGCTCGATCGATCGGAGGATGTATAAACACCCATATATAGTAATCCCATACGCAGCGTAACGCATAACACCTAACTAAGCTAGGCTAACAAGCCAAAGCACAACGCGGGGAAGCAGGCGGGAGAGAGGGAGGTATACCTCGCTGCTTGGCCTCGATCTTCCATGGAGGAGCAAGGGGAGAGGGGGCTCCAGCTGCTGCTCCCCGCAGCCGCTGCTCGGGTGCTCCGGGAAGCGCCGGCCAGCGCCGCCACCGACCACCAGCAGCTGGACCTCGACCTGTCCATGAGCATTGGGCCGAGGCAGCAGCAGCTGCAGCTGCCACGGCCGGCGCCGCCGACTCCACCGGCGAACGAGAGCAGGAGAGCGGCGGCGACTGTGGCCGCCAGCGCTGCGACGGCGAGGCAGCTGCAGCAGCAGCAGGTGACGGTGGACGTCCGCGCCGTGAAGCAGCAGACGGCGGAGCAGGCGCGGATGGCGTCGGCGGAGCGCGCCTACGCGGAGCGCGTCCGGGAGCTGGCCAAGCGGGAGCTGGAGCTCGCCGAGAGGGAGTTCGCGCGCGCCAGGATGATCTGGGAGCGTGCCCGCGAGGAGGTGGAGCGGGTGGAGCGGATGAAGCAGATCGCCGCCAGGCGGCTCGGCTCCGCCGCGTCCGCCGCCGCGCTCGAGATCACCTGCCACGCCTGCATGCAGCGCTTCCATCCTTAATTAGGTCGACATGGTCGGTCGGAGATCGATGCTTCCTGCTCGCCATTGCTAGCTGTAACTCTCTCTCTCTCTCTCTCTATCTATCTTTCTATCTCTCGTATCTCCTGTCTTGTGAGTGCCAGTCACCTTCTGTTTGAGACGATAATCATCTGGTTGATGCATGCAGCAAGGAAGCGGTTATTCCTCCTTACTCTATACATCGGGTGTACATGCTTAATTAGTTTTTTATTATGGAATGAGGGCGCATGCTTAATCGCAGCAGACTGCCTTATAATAAAGAAACAAGGGAGTAAACAACTGATGAGTTCAGAAACCAAACTAATTGTATATAGTGCCAAGAAAAGCAGATTAACTGAATTAAAGAGTATATTTTCTCTCTTTGCTAGACAGAGGTTGGACGGATCCCTCTGTACTGTACTGTTGAGCTAGTGCGGTGACAGCAGTAGGTCTGACAAAAAATTAATATTGGCCATCAAGTTTGGATGATTTCAGCTCCTTTGGCCATGCATGCTAGTGGACTGCCTCTCCTTCTCCTAGATGAACAAGGAAGATCAGGCAAGAAGCCAGATTTCATCCTGGTCAGCATGCAAACTGGTCTCAGGCACCTTAAATTGTTCACTGCGCTGCGTGTATGGCTACTCATAATGGCTCAACAGTGGGGAGAAAAGCAGAATGATGCCATACACAGAGAGACTGCAGTTGTGTTTGTTGGGTTATGTTTGTTTATGTCAGCAAAACGCAAGCTGACGCGCCGGGCTTTGACACCAATATATATACATGTGTATATACAGATACAGATACAGGTTTGCAGGAGGCGACCAGGTAGCCTGCCCGAACAGTGCCAGGTAAAGGATGGGAGTTGCAGGGCGCTGCAGGGATTGTACCCTGCCTGCACAGCCGACGCCGTTCAGTCATCGTCACCGATCCGAAAAATACGGTGACCACGACGGATGAGCCCCATGGTTTCAGAGAGAAATAAAAGTGCCGTAAATTCCTGTACGAATGCAGATGAGCCTGCAGGCAGTGGCAGCCAGCCAATGCCTGGATCGAATAAATCATATGAATTCTTTTTTTTAACTGAATCATATGAATTCTTGTTGGAATCAGGAGCGTGTGCTAGCTTTGATCTTTGATCATCTTAACCTCTGCATTTCCAGTGATCTGCTCCCTCACCTTGGTCGATTATGGAAGTATGGATAAGCTTGCAGCATGTGATTTCAAGGGAGGAAAATATTTCTTCTCAAAAAAGGGAGGAAAATATTTATCATGGTTGGCATTTTTCTTGCTTGTAAGACTAATTTAATTTGCACATGAGAATAGAGCAACTGAACTAGCTAGCTGGCTAGGTGTGTACTTGAATCTCTCAGCTGTCATCGCTAGGTCATCCACCATGAGCACATCTTCTCCCTGGACCAAGCAGCTCCCAGGCAAAAGGAGCCCCAGACAAAAGTTACCGGTGTTCATTGCACAGGCTCCTCCCCTACAAGCCAGGGATACAAACTTTTTTCAGAAGGTACCGCAGCGTAACGTCAGGAAAACATCATGAAATGCTACTGTAAAATCACATCCATGTTATATTTCTCTTGCTACTTTTTCACCCCGGCCGGCCATCTTTTCTCTACAAAGATTGCTGAATCATTCCCCCAGGCATGACAACATTATTGTCCTTATC